AATGACGAAAATTACGTCATCGGGCTTCACAGCGTCGTGTCGACAGCCCCTTTTGGCACAAGCCCCCGGCAGAACTTTATGAACCCCCCTCCCGTGTCGACGGTAATGTGTGATTGGTCTGAACTGAAAGCACTCGGACGGACACAGCAGAAGAGGAAAACAAAAAACTCGTTTCTGACTAGAGCAGACNCAGAGCAAAAATGAAATGAGCGCCTGAGCAGCATCTGGTTTACATATGTCTATGAGGGACGACAGCGCTTTACCTGCTCTTAATAAACAGTGAGAAAAGACAGAGCTTTTTTATTTTATTTCAGCGGGGAGACGAGAGGTGTTCTATGTCCCCTGTAAGTGGTCCCACTGCCTTTAAAAAAACAACAACGTGAACATGCTAACGTGGATATGCTAACGTGGACGTGCTAACGTGGACACGCTAACATGAACATGCTAGCGTAGATACACTAACGTGGACACGCTAACGTGGACGTGCTAACGTGGACACGCTAACATGAACATGCTAGCGTAGATACACTAACGTGGACACGCTAACGTGGACGCGCTAACGTGGACTCACTAACATGAACATGCTAATGTGGACTCACTAACATGAACACGCTAACGTAGACACACTAACGTGGACACGCTAACATGAACATGCTAACCTGGACTCACTAACATGAACACGCTAGCGTAGATACACTAACGTGGACACGCTAACGTGGACGCGCTAACGTGGTCTCACTAACATGAACATGCTAACGTAGACACACTAACGTGGACACGCTAACATGAACATGCTAACCTGGACTCACTAACATGAACATGCTAATGTGGACTCACTAACATGAACATGCTAACGTAGACACACTAACGTGGACACGCTAACATGAACATGCTAACCTGGACTCACTAACATGAACATGCTAACGTAGACACACTAACGTGGACACACGTAACGTTACCAGCCGCTCTCTTCCAGGGAGGGAGCAGCAACACATGCGCTCACATGATCAAAGGCATGGATCGACCAAACACACAAACGTATCAGCCGATACAAGGAAAAAACACACGTGTTAAATCTGGGTGGACCAGTTTGTTGGTCTCATCATGTGTTTCAGTGTTGTTTCTCTGACACTCGGTCCCTCTCTGCTGTCCAGGTCTGGTGAAAGCTCCTCTGAAGAGGTCACGCTCCACGGTGGACGGAGCAGACGAAGACAGTCAGGAGCAGCTTCAGGAGCAGCTGCTGGAGTCAGGAGGCCCCGAGGAGGAGCAGAAAACCGACAACACCTCTCTTCTGCGCCTCCTGGAGGAGGGGGAGAAGGTCAGCCCAGATAAACACAGTTAGGATTTATGCAGATTGAATTCTGCTGGTTTGGAAACAAAACGTTTTAAAAGCTGTTTAATATTTCATCATTCTTTGTATTATTTTCATCCTGCAGCCGTAGCTCTACGATCTACTGAAATCATCTGAATATAAAGAAAAGTTTGTTTTTTTATTAGCTGCAGTTTTTTATTAAAGTGTCTGTAGCTGTGTTTCCATTGCAAATGTGCGCAAAACTTTGTCGATATTCTGTTAATGTCGAAAAAACACAGTTTCGCAACTGCAGTGTTTCCATTAAGTAAGAAACGCTATTAAAGTCACGCGTGAATACGTTTGTTCTTGTGATAAGTCATTACAAACATGGTAGCAATGGATGTAAACACATAGCATATTGCTACCGTGACACTAGCGCTCATCAGCCATCAGAGGAGACATCTGCGTCTTATCGAGGCTTTCGAGTGACAAGCCCCTAATACTCAGGAGCGGCTACGTATGCTGTGTTTTTGGGAAAATGTAGTCGGTGAGTTTACTACTTTCCTTTACTGCTTTGGTGATTTCACTACTACTTTTACTTCCTGTTTTCTTCTTCGTCATCTTTTTTACCAGTAGAAACAGCCGGTTCG